TCTATTAAGAAACAGAATTGTACCTGATGACTCAAAGATTATGTATGCTGCTAAGAATTCAAGAGCATAACTCTATTGCAGATGCAACATTCAACGAACAACAAAAAATAACTTTTCATTCTATCAAGAAATAGAATGCTACCTGATGACTTAAAGCTGATCTATACTATCTAGACGACCTTGATGCATAGAACTTAGGTAGAATGGCAGGGATATGGGAGAAGATAGCCCAATCTTACAAGGAATATTTTGGCCATATTCCTATGCAATGTGAGGAGGGTTGCCTAAGGTTTAAAAAGAGAAACTGTCACATTCCAACTCAATGTGGGACATCTAAACACAGCCCTCTTACCCAAGCCTAGACACTGGGTGCTCTAACATTAAGACTGGAATCATATTATGAACCAACCAAGCTTGAACTATTAGGTTAAGACACAAATAATTGTATATTATAATTCTATCATGATGTAGAGCTTTTATTGTTTGAAGAATGAACAACAATAAAGGATCAACTTCTGGACAACCAAAAAGGTTCTAATACCATATTAGAAACTAACCAAGACTAACTCAAGAACGAAAGCTAGATCTAGGAGGTAGGATTGCTCAAGTCTTTCAAGGAGTATTTTGGCTGTATGCCAAACCAATGTGGAGAAATCTTATAACAAATATTTTGATTGCATTCTAAATCAATGAGGTTAATCTCAACACACCTCCTCTTATTCCTAGAATTTGGACATGTATGACATGATATTAGCAAAAATGAGAATCTGCAAATGACCCCATATCAGAACCAGATAGGCTTTATGCTAGATCTATGAGGTACGATTGCTCAAGTCTTTCAAGGAGTATTTTGGCTGTATGCCAAGCCAATGTGGAGAAGATCATCAAATCTTATAACAAATATTTTGATTGCATTCTAAATNATGTGTCTTTTTAGGCTATTCTCGGCTTCAAAAAGGGTACCGGTGTTATTCTCCTGAAACCAAGAAGTACTACATGTCTGTCAATGTTACATTCTTTGAACAAACGCCTTTCTTCTCTCCATCTGTTCCAAATGTTCATATCCTCCAACAGGTCCTTCCTCTTCTAATGGTTGAGTCCAATATCTCCAATGTCTCAGTCAATCCAAGTCATGCTCAAGGTCCTCCCGAACCTTCCTCTCCACATTGATATCTTCCGCCACAGTACCACGATGGGTAGTCCTCTTCCAGAAAATGGTGGATCTCCTCCTTCAGATTCTTCTCCCTCACCGCTTCTTGCCATGCCTCCTGGTGAAAATGATTCTAGTTGGCCCATTGCTCTCAGAAAAAGTACTCGTTCCACTCGAAACCCTCATCCCATTTATAATTTTCTTAGCTATCACAGACTGTAGCCCTCCTTTTATTCCCTTTTATCCTCAATGTCTTCTGTGGTTATACCCAAAAATGTGAAAGAAGCACTTGATCATCCTGGATGGCGACAAGCCATGATTGCTGAAATGCAAGCTCTTCACCATAGTAATACTTGGGAGATTGTGCCACTTCCCCCGGGCAAAATGGTTGTTGGTTGTCGATGGGTCTTTGCAATTAAAGTTGGCCCTAATGATGACATTGATCGGCTCAAAGCCCGGCTAGTTGCAAAAGGGTACACTCAGGTGTATGGCCTTGATTATTGTGACACATTTTCTCCCGTGGCCAAGATGATCTTGAGGAGGAAGTTTATATGGATATCAACAATGCCTTTCTCCATGGTGATCTTGAGGAGGAAGTTTATATGGAGCAACCTCCTGGGTTTGTTGCTCAGGGGGAGTCTGGTATGGTTTGCAAATTGCACTGATCTCTATATGGGCTCAAGCAATCACCATGTGCTTGGTTTGGAAAATTCAGCTGCATTGTTCAGAAATTTGGGCTAAAACGTAATGAAGCAAATCATTCAGTCTTTTATTATCACTCGTCTCTTGGGAAATGTGTTTACTTAATTGTATATGTTGATGATATCGTTATTACAGGGAATGATACTGCTGGAATATCTCAATTGAAGAAGTACTTGTGTAGACATTTCCAAACCAAGGATCTTGGAAGCCTCAGATACTTCTTAGGCATTGAAGTAGCTCAGTCAAAAGATGGAGTTGTAATCTCCCAAAGGAAGTATGCTCTGGATATTTTGCAAGAAACAGGCGTGATTGATTGTAGACCAGTTGAGAGTCCCATGGACCCAAATCAAAAATTAACAACAAAAGAAGGTGAGTTATTCTCCGACACGGAGAGATATAGGAGGCTAGTTGGAAAGCTAATCTATCTCACTATTACAAGGCCAGATCTATCTTTTGTTGTTGGGGTGGTTAGTCAGTTCATGCAAGTTCCATGTGTTGGCCATTGGAATGCTATCATTCGCATTCTAAGGTATCTGAAAAAGGCTCCCGGGCAAGGGCTGTTATATGAAGAAAAAGGAAGCCTTCAACTATCAGGATATTGTGATGCCGATTGGGCAGGTTCTCCTATTGATAGACGATCTACTACTGGATATTGTGTTTTCCTTGGAGGAAACATTATCTCATGGAAAAGTAAGAAACAGAATGTAGTGGCTCGATCAACAGCGGAAGCTGAATATAGGGCAATGGCGTCACTAACATGTGAACTTATATGGGTGAAACAGTTCCTTCAAGAGCTTAGCTTCTGTGACATCCAGAGTATGAAGATGTATTGTGATAACCAAGCTGCTCTTCACATTGCATCAAACCCAGTGTTTCACGAGAGGACTAAGCATATAGAAATTGATTGTCATTTTGTTCGGGAAAAGTTATTGTCAAAAGAAATATGTACCGAGTTTGTTGGATCAAATGACCAACTCACAGATGTGTTGACTAAGTCATTAAGGGGACCTCGGATCGAGTTTATTTGTTCCAAGCTTGGTACATACAATTTGTATGCTCCAGCTTGAGGGACAGTGTTAGAATAATTACTAAGTCTACTTGTTAGTGTAGTCAGTAGGACTAAAATAGGGGGTACTGTGTTGGGTTATCTCTAATCATTGTACCTAGCAGTCTAGGACAGTGACTTGACCTTCTATCTCTCTATTGTATCAACTCTTTATCTATATAAATAACAGAACATGAGAGGTGTCTTTCAAGCCCTCAAGAACATATTTTTATCTCAAGTCAAATAAAATCAGAGGTGAGCCCAGGCAAGTGACAAAGTTGTGCTAACCGGTTGGTCATGGATTTAAATCCAAACATCCCCTTTGCTGTATGCAAGAGTACCACTGCATACAATGACCCTACAACATAGTGAGGAGCCTTCTAGCTGAGGGGTACATTAGTTTTTCCCATACACTAATAAAATCCAGAGCATTAATCCTTGTTTATGCTCTTAGTTAAATTCTAATCTAAATTAATTATGCAAACAAATCTTGGTAAGGAAACACATTAACCAATCCTAAAAAAAAGAAAAAGAGGAAATAGAACTAACCCTAGTGAATGTTCTAACATATTATAAGACATTTTTATATATTCTCCAGAATAATATTGAGGTTTTATCATCCCTTGGCATGTCATGTCCTACGTTAGAAGGGCTTTCAGTGGTACTAAAACCTTGCTATCAAGGAGGCCAAACTAGTGACAGCGAGAATAGTTTGGAGTCCTTCGGTACATTTAGTTGGAGTGGAATATTTACCCTTATTTGAAGATACCTTGCTGCTTATCAACTTTAAAGGAGACCGGATGTGTTTCTGACCTCTTTACCGATGTGCAAATGGTTTTTATTGAAGGAAGTTTCAATTTCTGATGAGTATAACGATTCACGAATCGTTTGACATCTGTTCATTCTTTTAATGGTATGTATAGTGCAAAAAATTAAAAATAAAATACAACTCTATTGCAGATGCAACTTTCAACCAATGATAAAATAGAACATTGCATTCTATTAAGAAACAGAATTGTACCTGATGACTCAAAGATTATGTATGCTGCTAAGAATTCAAGAGCATAACTCTATTGCAGATGCAACATTCAACGAACAACAAAAAATAACTTTTCATTCTATCAAGAAATAGAATGCTACCTGATGACTTAAAGCTGATCTATACTATCTAGACGACCTTGATGCATAGAACTTAGGTAGAATGGCAGGGATATGGGAGAAGATAGCCCAATCTTACAAGGAATATTTTGGCCATATTCCTATGCAATGTGAGGAGGGTTGCCTAAGGTTTAAAAAGAGAAACTGTCACATTCCAACTCAATGTGGGACATCTAAACACAGCCCTCTTACCCAAGCCTAGACACTGGGTGCTCTAACATTAAGACTGGAATCATATTATGAACCAACCAAGCTTGAACTATTAGGTTAAGACACAAATAATTGTATATTATAATTCTATCATGATGTAGAGCTTTTATTGTTTGAAGAATGAACAACAATAAAGGATCAACTTCTGGACAACCAAAAAGGTTCTAATACCATATTAGAAACTAACCAAGACTAACTCAAGAACGAAAGCTAGATCTAGGAGGTAGGATTGCTCAAGTCTTTCAAGGAGTATTTTGGCTGTATGCCAAACCAATGTGGAGAAATCTTATAACAAATATTTTGATTGCATTCTAAATCAATGAGGTTAATCTCAACACACCTCCTCTTATTCCTAGAATTTGGACATGTATGACATGATATTAGCAAAAATGAGAATCTGCAAATGACCCCATATCAGAACCAGATAGGCTTTATGCTAGATCTATGAGGTACGATTGCTCAAGTCTTTCAAGGAGTATTTTGGCTGTATGCCAAGCCAATGTGGAGAAGATCATCAAATCTTATAACAAATATTTTGATTGCATTCTAAATCAATGAGGTTAATCTCAACACACCTTCCTCTTATTCCTAGAATTTGGACATGTATGACATGATATTAGCAAAAATGAGAATCTGCAAATGACCCCATATCAAAACCAGATAGGCTCTAATACCGACCATCCCATAAACTATTTGGATGATGAGAATGGTTTAATATTACACTTAACAGGATACCTTCAATCGTGCTCGCTGCTGCATTTGAGCATGAAGAGTCCAAACATTGATTCCAAGAATCCGTAATATGGAAGAAATATGACGTAAAGCTGCAATTGACGTGCAGAAAACTATGGTGCGACCTTGTCCATGGACAGTCAAAATATAATACAAATATGCATCTTTATCTTCTTCTCTGCATCTGTAAGAAACAATTAATGCCGATCATCAAACAAAAACTGACATTTCATGTCATAGTAAACTTTACTTTTTGACTGGATCATGAATAATAAGGTTTAGCAAAAATGCTCAACAAGAGACTTTGGAATTTAGAAAAAATGCTCAATGATAAAGTAAAACTTTATTTGCACAAGGAGGAAAAAATAGCATGTGGCCCACCAGGTTATGTAATCCAACACAAGAGTAGGCATAAAATAACAGCACCAAATTCAATAGCAAATTCAGGCTGATGAAAAAAAAATAGCAAATTCAATAAAAAAATTATTTTATTATGTCACTAAAATAATATGTATTCTAAATAACTCAAGTTCTAGTTCTAGAGTTTAGATATGAGTCTACATACTCAATAAATGACTCCTCAAGCTTAGCTGCTAATATAGATGGATTAGTAAGATCAATAATTGCAGCATTGGATCTCATTCCTGCGCGCTCAGAAAGAGTTTCGATAGAATTCAATCCATCTGTTGATGATTGCTTTTTTTGACCTGAGCCACGTTTTAGCTTCTTGCGAAAATCAGCAGACAGTGCAACAGTAGCTGAAAAAACAAGTGTTTGTCTTTTCTTTCTTTGATAACTAGAAACTGTAACACAACCTTTTTGTACATTTTTAGAATTATCATCAGTAGAGATGTTGGACATGGGAAGCATATCAATTATAGACTGCAACTCCTTAAAATGACCACTTTGTACCATCCGATCGGCCTCATCAAGCACAAAGAAAGAGAGTGAATGTAACTGCAAATAAACATGGTTAACATCACAAATGACTTTCAATCAATACAATATGAAGTACATTAATACAATTTTTTTTTATCAGATTGCATCAATCCTGCAGCAGTCATGTATCAATAATGAAACAGGCATTTGTAAAAATGATATCAAACAACAACCAGCATGCAAAAATTGTCATCAAACAGTATAACTTTTAGCTAGGAATGAGCAACATACTACTCCTGCAATGATCTAAGTAATACATACTGGCATGCTTAATCATGGCTTGTAAGGATAAAAAAATTGTGCAAGAGCCTATTACTTAGGGGCTCTTTGTATTCTTTTGATTTCATTGTTTTTCTATTTAATCGTGCAGATAAGTATTTTACAGTTTTCTAAAGTACTTTTCCCCTTGTCAAGTATATAATGCATTATTATCCATCAAAACAATTATTTGATTCACACAAATACAAATGCAGTGATACTCTAACTTCTCAATGCATGGCATTGGCAGTTACCTCAACTAGATGTTTTTCTCCAGTTGACATAAGTTCCCATAACCTCCCTGGAGTTCCGACAACAATCTCAGGCTTTGCTTTTAAAAGTCTCTCCTGCTTTTCTGCTAAAATCCCCCCAACTATAGGGGTCACCCTAACATTAATATACTTTGCAACAGCTTTCAGATGATCAGTGACCTGAAAACAAAATTAAAAAATGAGCAAGCCATGGTCAAAGGATCGGTATACTATATATCCTTATCTTATCATGATTTGCTTCCCTATTTAATTGGGATTAGGGAACATATTGTAAGTAACTTGGGTTTTATGAACATAGTAAACAGAACAATACATTGTAACTTAGTTTGGTTACTATATTTCCTTATCTTTTCATCGGTGGCACTTAATTAAGCTTTTAAACATTTGAAATCCAATATACCAGAACTTTTGGATGACCCACATTTTAATATAACTAAGAAAATCTCCCACCAGTTACTACCAGTGTTCTTAACGTCTACGTCAGTATTCTTTGATTGAATCCAAATTCCAGATTACACAAATACCAGTTGCCAGCGACCAGGAGGCTCCATTTTGTTATATTCCATTAGATAACTATGACCCACCAACCCTAATAAAAGTTTTATAGTAAGGATTGCTATTAGTAAATCCCATCTGAGTTACTCCTTCTAACGGACATAGAAAATGCTGAGTTAAACCATATCAGAGTGTTAGTAAGTTTGTAACTACTACAAAACTACAAACCCAACATAAAAGTTCTCACTTCTCCCCTTATTAGTCCTATAAAACAAATATATAAACCTCACTGCAACAATCAAGTATTTTTTTGACAATTATGAAAAGTTGAGAAAAGCCTTGCAATTACCTGAAGTGCAAGTTCTCTAGTTGGAGCAATAATGAGAGCCCTCAAAACTCCTTTAGGAGAATACTTTCCAGGTTCTTCAACCATGTTTGCGTCCTTTTCTCTCTCCTCCAAAATGCGTTGCAAAATGGGCAAACCAAACGCTAATGTTTTACCAGATCCGGTCTCTGCAGCCCCAACAACATCCTATCAAATGTACACAGAAGAATTTTAATAAATTTAATTGGATCGAAACCAAAACAGCACCCTGAAGAATAGCTTCAAACAACCTTCCCTTGATGAGCAGCAGCTGGAATGCAAGCCTTCTGTATTGGTGTTGGTTCCTTGAAGCCAAGCTTGCATATTGCTTTCATTAGGAGAGGGTGAAGCCTCAACTCACTCCATGCATAAAATTCAGCTTCATCATTGTCCTCTTCACCTTTACCATCTTCAACATTAGCATCTAAACCTAGAAGCAGATATAACCATTAGCAAAATGCATCTTTCTTGTCTTCAATTTATAACATTGCACAAGCAATTCCAATTTCAGTAATCTACAAACACGCATTCAACCATTCTAACACATACACGTACACACACACATACATAGAATTTCAAATTAGTTGATTAATTTGAAATTAAACAAGAAAGTACCAGCATCTGGTTGCTCAACTTTCGGGCCATCCGTAGCATCCTTCTTTTTCGTCTTCTTCTTCTTCTTCTTTTTCTTCTCTTTAGCCTTCACACTCTCGTCCAACTCAGCTTCGACCTCGTCACTACTAGCACCATCACCTCCATCTTGCTGTTGTTTCTTCACATCTTCATTCTGTATAGACTTCTTCTTCGTCTTCCTCTTGCCATCTTCAGGCTCAGGAATATTCAAACCATACTCCGCCTCATCAATCTCCTCGAGCGAAAGAAAACCTGCACAACGAAAAAACACGAACAAAATAAAACAAGCAGAAAATCGCAAACCTACAACGAACACTGTTCTTACAAGGACACCAATGTAAAGAAACTAAACATTCCACTGAATCAGCTAGAATACAAATGCTTAAATCTCAAGCTTATTTAATAAAATCCACACATTAAATTTAAAAAAGTAAAAAAGAAAAACGATAATTTGAGAAGTGAAATGGAAGGTGATTGCTTATGAGAGCAAACCTCCTTCGAGTTCGTTGGTGCCAATGAACAAGGAGAAAGCGTCATCGTCATCGTTTTGAGGAAGAGAAGAGTTCCACGGAAGTGAGTTGAGTCGTTCGAGTTCAGGATCGCTTTTTGCCAGGTTGCGCTTCCGCTTCAGTTTCTTCAGAGAAGAGGTTGCTACCGTTGCTGCTTCCATGGCCAACAACTAGGGGTGGGCAAACTGTCCTATAGTGCACTGCACTATAAAAGTTTATAGTTAACTATAAACCAGTTTAGGAAAACTGCACTGAAATAAAAAATAGTTCAGAGTAACTGAACTGAACTAAATTTAGTTCAGTTATAGTACAGTGCGGTTGAACTATTTTTATAGTGCAATATACTGCTCACGGTCTAGCCAATTCTTTCAACACATCAAGAGTTTCCCTTCCTTTCAAGCTCAGTTCTTTCTCCAATACTGAAGCCTGCTCCTCCAGTGTTTCAGCGCTGAGCTCTGCTGAGTGCTGCTGCTAACAAAGATGGGGATAGGTGAGATACTTGAAAATTTATCTCAACCAAATACTTAAAAAGGAAATTTAACGAAAACCCAATATTAACAGATAAAGTAAGTATAATGGCAAGGACAAAACGTAGATAGAAATCCCTTAGTGCTTTTGGTGTTCTCTGATCAAAATTAAAGTTTCAATTTAGTAATTAGCATAATATAGGTTTGGGTTAAAGATCAACACAGTTACTGAAGTATTTACATTTTTTCCTTAAAACACCAATAGTTTCATTCCAATTTACCAATCAAGAAATCAATACAAAGATAGCATTTTTATCTTTTTTCCTTAGATTTTAACAATATTCTCCATAAATGACTTAAACTACAGTTCATGGGATCCAATCCTCGTACAACACTGATTTAAAAACAAGGAAGGAGAGAGGGATTTGAATAAAATTTGTTGTTTGCTTCAAAGGTTTAGAGGGAAGGGAAAATGAGGACCTCAAATACCTCCCCTCCAATTAAGAGTTCTCTTCTCAAAACATGATGCTTTTATTTTTTCCAGTTCCTCTCCTCACTTGAAACTAAACCATAAGTCCAAGGTTCTAAATTGCAACTACAGTCATGGTTTTGTCACAATCCATGACATTACCGAAAACTAAATAAATACAACAAATGCGGCCCCATTTATAACGCCCCATTTATAACTGGAGACCCCAAAAAGCCTTGAAATTGTGGCACAGTTGCAGCTGCAAATCATTTTTGAAACCTTGAAAGAGTCTGTAGATCTTTTAAAGCTTGAACAAGATTTTAAAAAAACAGTCCACAACCACAACTGTAGCTGCAATTTCCTGCAATACCACGAACTCAACAAAAATAGACTCTGGGACCACAATTTAGAACATTAATCTTCAAAGAGTTCCTAAATCTTAATAACCTAGAATCACAAAAAAAAAAACAAATTTTCAACAGCAAACATTAAGGAAACAGCCATACACTGCAACATATCACAACTTACCACACGAACAGCAAAAAAAACAAAAGAACCCCAGTTTCTCCCACTCCACACAAGTAAAACAACAGATACACCCATCAAAATTCCAACAAAAGAGGTACCACCTTTTCCACGGAAAAGGGAGAGGGACATACAAAAACAAAGAAATGGCAGCATTTCAGCTTGTGCGGTGCTATAAGTAGCAATGCCACAACTCAATTAGAGAGACAGCGACGAACTTTCGACGGCTGCGAGCCTTCGACAGCGGCGAACCTTCGACGATGGTGGTAAAGCCTTTGACAGTTCGGCAACGGCAGAATGCGGAAAAGCCTTCGATAACGGTGAGTCTTCAACGGCGACGAACCTTCAACTGCTACGAGCCTTCAACGGCGGCAAGCTTTCAACAGGGCGCTTGAGAAAGCATGTAAGAGGCGGGGAGAAAATTGAGATAAATTATAGTTTAGAGTTTTTCAATGAACTGTGCCTAGCCCTACCAACGACACCCCGTTCGTTTTTCGTAAGTGGTGAACAAAGCCACTGTGCATCAAGCAAAGTTGGGCCCTATATCTGGTTTTGGTCTTTATTGGGCTTTAATTCGTTGGCTACTATTTACACTTCCCTCGCAGAATGGGATGTATTGGAATAAAATGTGAGTGTAAATAGTAACACCCTCCACTATCTCTACCTACCATTTCTTTTTACGTCATATTTTTGTTTCCGACAATTTTTCCCTGCATTTCCATAAATTTCTTCTTGCAATCCCACAAATTTTTATATCTCAAATTGTGTGCAATTCATAATATTGATTTTGTATTTTGAATTATATAATCTAAATTTTATTCCTTTATTTTATATTCTGAAACATATAATCTAAAATATAACCTTTTGTATTTCAGAATATATAATCTGAAAATGAAATAATTATATTTTGGGTTGTATAATTAAAAAAAATATTGATTTAATAGTGCTTTTTGAATATGATTTGCACATCAAATTTTTTATATTTTTTATATTTTTTATTGAATATGATTTCTATATTTTTAAAAGAAGATTTGATGTTATATTTTTTCACTATATTAACATTAATGTCATTTAGAGAATAATGAGGTAATATTTTTGTTTTTTAAGGATTGAAATATGTTTAGATTTGGTCTACAAAAGAAACATCTTGATCCTCATCGTAAATTCGAGATATATTATTTTACTCATGATAAAATCTAAAATGTGTCATAGAAAGATCTTTTTTGGACATAAATTAGATGTGTACATAAATGCTAAAGTAAATATATAATAATTACTTCATAAAAAGTACTATTTTTTTTTAGTTTTAGAGATTTTTACTTACTTAGACCCAGATTATCTAGATTGACTTTAGAATTTTGCTAATTTATCTTCTGTAATTTTTTTATAAGTCGTATTAATCTTTTTCTAAGAATCCAATATGATCGAAGTATATCATATTACTATGATCAAAGATATTCACAACGATACGATCTCCTCTTGGATTGACTATATCACTTTGGTCATATATCACACAATTTTCTAATATTCTAACAATTACTCTTCTTTACAAGTTTATTATCCAATGTCAAGTACAAAATGAAAAAAAAAAACATTAACTTACAAAAAGATATTTGCTAAAAAGGTACATAAGACCATATTGAATAAAAAAGTATTAATATAAATATATAAAAAAATGCTAAAAAATATTTAAAAAAAAAAACTGTTCAAGACATATAAACCATGTACGTGGTTGTCTCTTGTAATCAACCTTCACCATTGCACGTGCACCTCTTGTTTGTTGCTGATAAAGACAATTGCAAATAATCAGTTTTTCTTTCTCTGAAATAGAAAATTTAGAAAAGAAACATTTTGTGTTGTAGAAGAAGTGATTTTTTATACATTTGGCTGAAAAAGTAGAACAAGAAAAGGAAATGATGATTCATGGATCAATAATTTGGAACAAGAATGAAAGTGAGAGTGATAATGTCCATACCCATATGTCTGATTAATGAGTGTATGTACTAAAGAGCAACATGCAGAGATATATATTTATTCTCATTCATACCTTCTTCACACAGTGCTTGTCTGTGGTTAAGAAAATGTTCATTGCATATGTTTAATCAATACTCAATTAATAGCCTCCAAATCAATGGAATCAGATCATATTGATGCAAAATCCAGAAAACAGATTTGGCCTCAAGACAAGTTGTTCTCCATGTCAGTTTCACACTCTGCAACATATGCATGTTCATTTTCCTAGCTTCTATTTCTCTAGCATGCCTCTTCTGACATTATACTGTTCCTTTTGAAATAAGACCAAACATTCAACACTTATATTAAAATGCAGTTAAATGTATGTTTTTCAACTTCTCATCAATTTCTGTGCAAAAGAAAACGTTAAAGATGTTTCAAATAATTTATATTTATTGGATGTTGCAATCTATTACCATCTTCACATATATAATAGGTTGTACTTTCGTAAAAAAGTCTCAACTCATGAGACTGCATCCGTTATTTGCTTTTTAGAAAAAATTATTATTACTTTTAAATTTCTGGTAATTGATAGTTTTTTTAAGGTTTAATGTCTCAATAGGTCCCTATTTTCACCAAGAATTTTAAATAGGTCCCTTTCTTTTTCGGCATCTCAATTGAGTCCTTATTTTTGTAAAATTGAATCAAATAGGACCTTTCCGTCAAATTGAAATGACGCCGTTAAGAAGAATATGCTTTATTTTTGGGTGAAAATAATGACGGCGTCATTTCAATTTGACGGAAAGGTCCTATTTGATTCAATTTTACAAAAATAAGGACTCAATTGAGATACCGAAAAAGAAAGGGACCTATTTGAAATTCTGGATGAAAATAAGGAACTATCGATACATTAAACCTTTTTTTTAACGTTATTATTAAAATTAATAATATAAGTATAATAATTGAGGTAACAATATTTTTGAAAATGATAATAAATATATTTTTAAGTATGTAATTCAATTACCTAATAAATAAGATGATTATATAAAGTTTTTAACAAAAATGTAATATAGTATATGAATCTTCATTTATTTTTTCTACCTCTCTTAAAGAATTACTACCTTGTCGTTTACAAAATATTAGTGGAAGAATAAAATATATATTTTTTGTTTTATATTATATGATAAAATGTGTTTTTAATTAATGTAAAAGGTAATAACCTAGAAAATAAAGTATTAGAGTTGGTAGGTGTTTTAAAATAATAAAACTAATTATTTTATTTTAAAATAATTCAATAATATAAATAGAATTTTTTAAACTCGTTTCATTACTTAAAATACTTATATCTCTCTAAAGCTCTTTCTCTTAATATCCTCTCATATCTCTCTAAGATTTCTCATCTCGTGATCATGTGTTTGATGATCAGGAAGTTCCTATGAGTTATCTACACATCTATCCGATCAATTTTTGTCATAGATCAAGTAAGTTTCAACTCACTTTTCGTCTTTTATTCTTAATTTGATATTAGAAGAAGAGATTGTTGTTGCATGTGTAGTCTTGCTTCTTCTACTTGTTCTTAGTTATTCCAAGGTCCTAATGACTCTTTCCGTTTTCAATTCGGTGTTTGTAGAATTTCCTTACGTTCTAAGGTATCGAGGAGACGTTCCTAGAGTTGATAGTTCCTTGTGAGGTAAGCGAAGCTAGAACTTGCTTATATTATGTTTGTCGTGCTAAAATAGTATATATGAGAATAGTATGATGAATTGAATGCATTTGTGATAGTAGTGTAGTACTCTTTATACAAGGTTAGTATGTACCGCGTCGTAGGCTATAGTGGAAGCACCTAGACTAAGACCTCCTATTACTCTCACCACATGCATCAAACATCTTTATTTGAGAATGTATGACCATTAGAGTGTCAGAAAAACCCCCAAGATTGAACTATCGGCATTAATAACACTTGAACCACACCAAGAAGTTCCAACATGGAACCAACTTTCCAAACCTTGAAATCATTTGAAACCATATACATATTCATTCACTTTAACATTTGCAATACCAACATATAACATCATTGATCATACTTCCAGGAACCATAAACAACCCAACAAGTTATCAAAAATCACTTAAAACAACATAATAGGAACATACAGGGTGACGCTCTTAGGCGCCCAAAAGTTGCCCTAGCTTATATTTTTTGGCACTCAACGCTAGGAGGCTGGCGCTCAATGCCTGGCCGTTGGAATGGGGCGCACAACGCCCTATTTAGGTGTTGAAGCGCTATCAGTAAAACTATACACTTTTTGGATCACTTCACACACTTTTCCCACAACTTTGAATGGTTTCCTAAGACCTTCTAAACATTGAAGATCTTCTGGAATCACCACGCTAACTCAAATTGACTCATTGAAACCAAAATCACTCCTCTAAGATAAACTCAACATTACACCTCCTAACATCCATGTCAGTCCACCAACTGCATAAACCAATCTAAAAACACTTGATAGCACACCTCAACACCTCATATTACTCAACCCTTCTATTTCAATTTCTTACTGTGTAAAACCTCAAAATTTGACCAAAAACACCTAAGAACTCACACTAAGATGACCTTAACAGTTCTACACCAGATTTTTCTCATTTAAAAGCCTAGACAAGTCATAGTAGGTCTAGTAGCAGACCTCTAATTAACTTCCCAAAAGAATTTACATTCATTGCTTCAAAATCCTACTAAACCTCTTTTTTACAATAAAAACACTCCAAAATCATCCTAATGAACTACCTCTTTGTTCCATATTAGTTTTCAGTCAAAGAACACTTCTAACAAGTCTCAAATAACCATATAATAGTACTAAACAAGTTACTTCCTCACTCTTACACCTATCTCTCAAACTCACTCATTAAAACCTTTATTTTTGACCTTAAAACATAAGAAATTGACTCTTCCTTACTTCAAACACTTTAAATTCGATCAGTTTCAAACCATAATACCACTTCATCATACACAATCATGACAAGATAGAACATCAATTTCACATCATTTCAAATTATACACACATCATACTACCAAATATCATTATTTAAACTATGAGTTGAAACCCATTTGGCAAGAGCTTTGCAAAGCAGTAGAGGTCACCATAAGTGCATAACTCGTCATAACTCAACATTCATTCTAAGTATGGACAATCCAGTCTAGGTCATTGTATGTTAAGATGTTTGACTTGAATTATATTACAATTGATCCTTGTATGAAATGTGTTAAGTATATATGAATTGTCTATGAATCTAGCTTACCCTTTTCTCTGTGACTGTGTGTATGTTATTTGATTTTTTCTTGGCTATGATCATTTGGTGGGTGTGAGTAAAGGATGATGAGGCTACTCTTGAGTAGATGTTCAATGGAGCAGTTGCAGATGTTTAATTTTTATAGTTAGTTATTATGTTCATATTTTTAGTTAATCCGTTTGTATATAAAATTTC